TTCAAATTTTGATGAAGTTTCATTTTTTTCTTTTGTGGATTCTAAGTTTGGTTCCACATCTCATATATCACCACTAAACCTCAGGTCTATAGCTCGAGGTCATATTTCTGCTCCCTGAAATGCTCCTCTCTGTCTTGACCTCCTGATTTTCTTCTTCAAGATAAGTATTTTACTTCCTTTGAAAAGCATCCTTGTTTCTTTCCTCCACTCTCCTACAGGTATCTTTTCGTCACCTTTTTACTCATAATGAATATCTATCTTTCTGACAGTAGCTTCTGGTTACCTGCCTCCACCAGGCTGGAAACTCCACAGGAACAGTCATTTCTCACTATACATACCAGCCCATTGATTATTGCACAGTAGACTTTAATGTATTCAGTGAGGTCATTATGTTTAATAATATTACTCTTCTGTCCTCAATAATTAAGGGTTGATCTAGGGGCAATATGAGTATCTACAAAATTATTATTTAAAGGACATTAAAGACTACCTCAATTAAAAACAAAGTTGTTACTCTTTTTGTGTATATGTGTGCTTATCCTGGGGCTTGAACTCAGGATACTCTCCATGAGGTTTTGTGCTTAAGGCTAGTACTCTATCACTTAAACCACAGCTTCACTTCTGGCTATTAACTGGATAAGAGTCTCATAGACTTTCCTGCCAGGATTGGCTCTGAACCACGATCCTTAGACCTCTGCCTTTTGAATTGCTAGGATTACAGGTATGAGCCACTGGTGCCTAGCTTTTTAAAATGTTATATTTTTGCTATCTTTAAGAAGTTGTACCAAGAACTTACCATGCAAATCACCTAATACATTAAAATACAATGCATCTTGACTGATGTTACAAGGTTGTTGTTATTCTTAGGGATATCTGTTGATTTAGTTATCTTAATGAGCTTGTTACAGAATATATTACTCAGAGGGGGGGGATGAGGCAGCGGTGAGGGGGTGGGGGATGGAGGAGGAAATGGGAAGGCATGGGAAGAGGAAACAAAGGAGGAGGCAACAATGCTTGATAAGAAATGTACTCATTACCTTGCTCATGTAATTGTAACCCCTCTGTACGGTATTTTCACAATAAAAAAAGAAAAAAAAAAAAGAATGACTCGTGAACCCATTATAGAACCCTCTGGTGTTCATTCTTGAAAGAGATCTATGAGCTGTTACTTATATTGTCTTAGCATCTTAGTCCTTCTACTGACCTTATTCTCTCTATAGACTGAGTTTTCTACCTACTAGTACCCTCTTGATCAAAACAGGGAAAACTTTGAAATCAAAATAAACACTAATTAGATTGATTGATCACATTTTGCTATGAGCTATAGTCACTATATCAGTTTAATCAGTCTGCCATGCTAAATATTACTTAAACTTTAAATGTAACTTAAACTTTGTAGTTGTGGAATGATATGGTATCTTTTGTTAATACTCTCAGTAAGGAGATGAGAAATATTGTATAGGTATATAGGTCAGCATATAGGTCTGTAAGATGAATATATACATACATGTATATGTGCATACATATATAGGCAAATAAAGGGATTGTCTTTATATTAATAAAAAAACTTGATTATCTTCTGAAATTATGGTTTTGTTTCCTCTGAGTAGCACTACAGTGTTAGCAGATCTGTTATCCCTTAAGCTGCTTAACCATGTGAGCTGAATCTACTTTCCACTTACCATCTGTTCTAGTCACATGTACAATTGAGTCTGAACACCAGTCATTCCTTACATGCATCAGTTAGGTTGATTCAGCATTTCCAATCCCATGCTTTTACTTCACATTGTTAATAAAGTATGTTCAGATTTCTTGGCTCTTTTTAAAATTCCAAACAATTCTTGCTGGGAGACAGCCATTCAGTAAATTGATTTAAAGTCTCCTTTGCCCAGTTATTTGCATTAAATAAACATAATATCCATAATCTTTACTTCTTTCTTATAAATGTGCAATACTTCAAACTAGTTAGTCTATAGGTATTTGTTTAATATTTTTATATAACAAAGAAAAAAATAGAGATTCTAATTTTAGAAAGTATATTGTTTAGAATTAATCATCTTCCTATAAAAAAAATTCTCATCAAATGTTCAAAGAAAGCCCATGTTTGGGAAGGAGGAACAGAGACAGAGACAGAGACAGACAGAGAATCAGAGAGCCAGAGAGCTTTTGTCAAACAACTGGTGGCACAGTACAAACCATAAAAATAAATACATTAATAGACCACAGAAAGTTGCACCAAGCTATGCATTATTCAGTTTCAGAATTCAGGAGAGATTGTGTATGTAAAATATTCAACAGAGGGATATAAGCACTTATGAGAAAGCAATTTTCTTCAGGATTCATCAGCTTCTGTGAGTGCTGGGTTATATATGGAAGTCTGAGTTAACTGTCACCAATAATACTTTAGAAACCCATATGGATTGTTTCCTCTTATGGATAATTACCTTTCTATCTTGACCCATGGCTTGGCTCTGACTTATTCCTACATCCATTATGAAGGAGCTAAATCATTTGTGAAGAATGGATGGCATGTGTTTTGGCATGAGCTTAAGTGGTGCTAAGGCTATATATAACCTTTTATATTGGGGGATGGGAGTAAGATAGGTGAGAAATGCCTCTTTATCTATTTTGAGCAGGTGATAAAGATTATACAAGCTGTTACTGAATTTGTAGGCTCATTTGTCTTTCAGTACCATTTGCATATAAACAAACATGCCTGGAAACAAGTGGGAAATTTTACTTAATGGCCAAAGAATGGAAAAGAGATCTCATACTATAATGGCATCTTCTCCTTGAGCAAGTCTGGGATTTTCACTAAGGCTGATTGGTTTTAAGGAGATTGGTATTCATGTTGTCACCAGAACTTCTCACTGAAAAAGAAGGAAGTTTCTAGGAATCAGATTACCACTTCTTTTATTCCTTATCCCTAATTTGGATCTACTGTGGTGCTGTGGTTATGTTTTTTAAAACTCATTTTTAAAATATTTTTTATTGTAAAGATACTTACAGAGAGGTTACAGTTATGTGAGTATAAAGAACATTTCCTATTGAACATTGTTACTCCCTCCTTTGTTTTCCCCCTACTATCCCTTCCCTCCCCACTTCCCTGTATCCATGTTTCAGCATTTTGTTATCATTTATAATAATAGAAGGTCCAAGATTGTCTGGAGTATCAATATAGTGCCTCAACCAGATTGAGTTAGGGCATTTCCCCCCTACCCCCAAGCAGGTAATAACTGAGTAGTCTGAACTTGCAAGAAAACTGTGATTTACAGTATTTAAAGATGTACGCAAGCAACATCTTTAAACAGAATTGACAACACAACAGAGTATCAGTAAGTTTATGGTTCATTCTGATGCCTAGCCTTTTGCTCCCCTTGGTATGTATAGTATTCTGCATCCATAGGTTCAAAGTTAGACCCAAAAGACAGAGGTAGACAAGTCTGAGTAATAAAATCAAGGGTATGAGGAATTGAGAACACTGCCAAAACAATGTCTTAAGTGATCCCTAAAGGTTCTAAGGTAGATGGGTGTGGTATATGAGAAAAAAGGGGTAGAGGGGACCAGTGGTCTGAGTGAGGCAGAAGAGCATTCTAGTGGAAGACAGGACTGAAAAAAATCATAAAAAGAGAGGTGGATGGTATAGAAGACCTTTTGATATTGTTACATTGGTAGACTAATGACAGAGTAGAGCTATGGCAGAAAATGTCCCAGTAGAAATAGTGTAAAGGTCCTAAGAGCTGTCAAGTAAAAGAAATCCAAGACTGTGGTGGTGTGAGTTCATCAGTGTGAATATGGCAACTACTTAAGGTAATGCTAGGCTTGGTAGATAGGGAGAGAAAAAAAGGTGAACCAGATGCCTTTGTCAATGGAATATGGAAGAATAATGTAAAGAGTTGCCGAAATGCATGAAATCAAAAGGTTATATTTCTAGCATAGGAAGGTTATTTTTGACATTAATAGTAGGGTTCAGAACTCAGATGCTTATTTTAGCCAACTGAAAGTCATAGCTGAAAGCCACATGTAAAAAAGTCATTGATGTACAACTAGAAATGAGTAACCAAGGACTTTTAGCTGACATCAACATCATTTTTATCCGTAATAGTAGCTTAAGTTGTTCAAGTAAATACTACACTGCCTTCATTTCATATTTCTGGCTATTGACTTCATGTGGAAATTTAGGAATAAGTTTAGGAATAATTTTGAGAATAAGTCAAATATCAGTTATGCTGCCTAATTGTACGTATGAAAATGAGTGAAACTTTGATTTACTATTGTTTTCCCTTAAAATGTCTGGTTCTGAAAACTGCATTTTGTCTTTCTGGCTTTGCATCTTAAAAAAACAATTGTGTTTGAAAAATGAGATTGGAAATTCAGATTTCCATTGTGAGTTTCAAAACGAAATTGTCCTGTGGGTAACATTTGCCCCTCACACTGAAGACTTGATTGAGAAGTTCTGGGAACTGTATGAAGCGCACATTCTACCTCTTTCTTTTCATACTAGATGTCTGAGTCATGCTTCTATCCAGATATATTTTGTGCTCTGTTTATCTCATCACCAGCAAGTAGAATAGCTGAGAGCTCCACATTGAGAAAAAGAAAGGAGAGAGAACTAGAGAGAGAAAAAACAGAGAGATAGAATGGAGAGAGAGAGAGTGAGAGAGAGATAGAGAGAGAGAGAAAGAGAGAGAGACAGACAGACAGAGAGAGAGAGAGCATAGAGAACAAAGACTGGGCTAGTGAAGTGACCTCTCACCTTGGCTGAGCATTTAATTTGGATGCCTGAAAGAACAGTACGATTTCTTGTGATTTAGTAAAAGATCAGTTTCCCTGGATGGATGGATGTTCCAGTGCATAAGATTATCGTCTGCAACTATGTGTCTGATCAACATAGAGCAAAGTACCTACATGTGTTAGGTGAAACAGTAACTGTTTATACCTTTCCCCTATCCCAGGACACACTAAAGCAGTCCCTGTATGTTTTGCTGTCTTTACTGCAGGATATTTGTGAGGACATTTCTGATCACGTCGAACAAATCCATGCCCTTCTTGAGACCGAGTTCTCCCTGAAGCTGCTGTCCTACTCTGTCAATGTGATTGTGGACATTCACGCAGTGCAGCTCCTCTGGCACCAGCTTCGAGTCTCTGTGCTGGTTCTGCGAGAGCGCATTCTGCAAGGACTGCAGGACGCCAATGGCAACTACACCAGGCAGACGGACATTCTGCAAGCTTTCTCTGAAGAGACAGAGGAGGTGAGTCTTTTCTTAGAGGGCAGCGAATGCATTGTCAGGCATTCCCATTTGAGAATGTTTCCAGTTGACAATGTTTTCATTGAAGTCGAGTTCTTTGTAGGTAGATAAAGCTATTCCAGAGGGGATCTCCAACCCTATGGTACTCCTAAGAAGCTAAGACACTTGTAATGTGCATGCGGCTTTAGACCAGGAGAATTCACACTAAGTAATTTCCATAGATACCATCATGAATGTTGGTGTTGACCTCATTTCCTGATCCACTTTAAGTTTTTAATATGTTTTTACTGAACACTTACTATATCCAGGCTCTAGGTGCTAGTAATCTAGTTGAGATTACAACATGTTCTCTACCTTAGAAGAGCTTTGAATCTAGCAGGAAATGGAGAGAAGTTAACAAACATGAAGGTCATCGTGTGATAAATGTATGTGATACAGTTTGAGGACAGAGAAAAATACAATTCATGTAGGCTTTTCTAGAAGAAAACGTCTAAGCTGACCTATAAAGGAGAGGCAGGATTATAGATGGATAGCAAAGAAATGTTCTAGATACAGGGAATGGCATGGTCAAAGACTCAAAAGGCAAAAGGCAGATAGGACTTAAGCAAAAGACTCAAAGAGAACAGGAAACAGGATGTAGGGTTATAGGTAAGTAGAGGGCAGATGATAAAGATACAGAATTGGACCTAATTTCAAGCATGAAAGAAATGTTCAGAAAGTCATTATGGATATAGTGCATCAGGTAGATATTGGAATATTATATAATCAGTTATTTTATTTTCCTTGTCTGTGTCAAGAATACTTTGAATAGTTTGTTGCTATTATTCTTACAGAATAACAACACCCTCTACCATTCTCAAATAAAATCGACATACATTTACAGAAGAAGCATTGTGATGGCTAAACAAGGAATGGGTATATAGATATAGATGTCAATACCGTATATGGATATGGGATGTGTTTTCTGTGTGAGTGTGTGTGTGTGTGTATTGTGTGTGTGTGTGTGTGTGTGTGTGTGTGTGTGTAAGAGAGAGAGAGAGAGAGTATACTTTTGGTTATTTTTTTTAATTTTTGCATTTTTTGCCAGTCCTGGAGGCCTGGCTTCTGTCCATGAGCCTCTGTGTGTCCAAGGCTAGCACTCTACCACTTGAGCCAGAGCACAACTTTTGGCTTTTTCTGAGTAATTTATTGGAGATTAGAGTCTCACTAGCTTTCCTGCCTGGGCTGGCATTTGAATTGCAATCCTCAGATCTCAGCTCCCTGCCCTGAGCTAGGATCACAGGCATGAGCCATCAGTACCTAGCACTTTCATGGCTTTTGAAACCCAGTTTTGTTCTTTACTGTTAGGTTTGTGAACACATATATTCATGAGTTCATAATGCACTCACATCAATCCAATATCTAAGATAAAAAGGTCTTATAATTAGTGCTGCATAAATCACACATTTAAAATTTATTAGTGTTTCCGGGACTTCAACATTGATACTGCAAGACAAATCTCTAGCTATTGTAATAAATGATTTATTTTTCTTGGTGGTTGTTTATTCAAAACAAAGGTGCTTTGGCTGTGACAAACTCCCTGTAGGGCTAGAAGTCTATCAGAATGAAAAGCAACGTTCTTCTCCTCTAACTTCATCACTGTGTGTTTTCAGTTATCTCCCCTTGCTGTTGCAGCTCTGGGGAGGAGATATGAATGAAAGGAAGAACTATGAGATGGAAGTGCTATGCTTTTTCTTCCAATGGGAGCGATCTCTAGAAGCCTCTCAGTTGGGAGAGTGTTTATGGGATGGGTTATGGTTATGGGATATTACAGAGAATCTCCAGCTAGCAAATTTTCCTCTAAACTGCCTCTGAGGATCTATGTTAATGAAATCAGAGATGAAAAAAATCTGTTTGAATTCCAAGAGCTGTTTCTTTAGATTGGTCTGCTTTCTAGAAGGGGCGTTACAAATTATTGAATAGAATCAATTCATTTTACATATCTATTTGCTCAAAAAGTATCAATTGATTATCAGCTCTTTGTTGTAGGAGCTAGATATACAGAGTAAAGTTATCGCTGTCATTATTGTTTTGTGAGATATACTTAATTGTGTGCTTATATTTATATGTAAGACTCATGAATTAGTAGTTGAAGATGGGGTGGAAAGCCACTGGGGCTAACTGGTAAAAGTCATCTGTGTCGTGAGTTTAAATTAAATAGCATCTATTATGTTTCTCATAATGTGAGTTGACATTTATTTGTGGATTTTTGAAGCACTTTTATGAATTTTCCTACTTGAGATTAATCTTTAATACTATTGAAAAGATGCAAGAATATATGTGGGAATAACAGAGGAGTGGTTCTAATATGATGCCAAGAGAATTAAAAACTCCTTACTTTTGTTTCTGTGAGCATAGTAGAAGTGTGAAAGCCAGGAAGGGAATTAGAAAAACAATTCTCTGTCTTATCAGAATAAATTTAGCTTAAAATATTTGTATAATGAAGAGAGAAATAACAAAAAAAAAACACTGATAAAATAGAATAGTAGATTTCCCTTTCAGAGAAGGGGGATTCAATTTTTTCTTTCCTAATTCAGTTGAATTGCAGTTACATTGAAGAGTAGATAGAGAACCTGAGAATATAACAAGTTTGAAACTCTCTCTTTTTGAAAAGTTAAAATAAATGGGTTTTATTCTTTATTTAAATATGGAACAGAAGCCGGGCACCAGTGGCTCATACCTGTAATCCTAGCTACTAAGGTGGTGGCGCTGTGGCTCAAGTGGTAGAGCGCTAGCCTTGAACTGAAGAGCTGAGGGACAGCACCCAGGCCCAAATTCAAGCCCCATGATGGACAAAAAATAAAAAATAAATGGAACAGCCTGTATCTAGTTATCGTATTTTCTAATATCCTACTAATACAGAAGCAAGCTAAATAAGTAAATAAACACTTCAATACAAAGTTCAAATTTGTGTAAAGAATATTTTGCATTAGAATTTTCTGTTTTATTGTGTAAAGAAAGTAAGGTCTGTTAAAAATATGATAGAAAAAAGTAAATTTCAGAGAGGTTCAATAATTGCTGAAACACATAAATCTAGGAATAATTAAGTAAAACCAATGACAAGGAATGATAGATAATTCCTTCCTCCCTTCTCTCTACTTTCTCTACATTTCTATTGATTTCCTACCATGTACAACACTAGATATTCAAAAGATACAATATGTTAGCAATCACCTTCATACTTTGATCTTCACACAGTTTGGGGAAATAGGCAGGTGTATTAGGTAATTTTTTTGTCACTGTGACAAAATATCTGTCAGAAACAACCTAATAAGAATGGATATATTTTGGCTCACAATTTCAGGCCATAGTCCTTTACTCTTTGCTTTGTTGTTTCTAGGCCCACACTTTAAGGTAGAGCATCACTGGTAGAACAACAGGCTATCTACTCCATGATAAACAGGAAAGAGAGAAGGAAGGGGGGAAAGAACTGAGAGGGAGAGATAGAGGAAGAGGCCAGGAGAAAGATTTCCCTAAGGACACACTGTCAGTGACTAACTTGGTTTGTCTAGGACTCACCTACCAAAGTTAGCACAGCCTCACATTTCCACATAAGTTTGCTGGAAACATTTCATATTTAAACACAGTAGCAGGAGAGGTGAATTATCCTCATTTTATAGGTGCTGTCACTGCATCCAGATTAGAGGACTGAAGTGGAGAGAGGTAATGTCACATGAGTAGCAATAAATCTTAATAATTAACATTAACACAATAGCAAATGTTGATGGGAAATGATTATGTACCAGATAATGTAGTTAGCTAGCAATTTGCTTAAATGATATTTCCTTCTGTGGAGATACACTGATCCTTCACATGACTCATAACATAGCGCTTTGTGTATTTTCCCACTGGTACATATTACAGGGCAATATATAGCAAGACAAAGTATATATTCTTGATTTTGAACTGCATAAGGATTAACTACAGATGGTATTCATCTCTGTATTTCTCATAAAACTTTATTGTTTTTCTGTTTAGCTTCCTGATTAATTGAATTAAATTAAATATTTCAGTTAATCACTGCTCTGGTGTACAATAAGGAGATATTACTACTTTAGCTTGGAGAAGTTGGAATTAATCATAGAGATTAATTATGTGTTCCATAATCTCAGCCTGTAGAAAATGAAAATTCTTAAGAATCCTTATTTTGGTAAATAATGTTGAAAGATTTTTGTGTAATTTTTCTCCTTGTTGATCAGAAGTGAAACTTTGTTTTACATTTTTCTATCATACTTACTCTTCTCAGTCCACTGCTGTTTTCTGGAATGCATTCAGAATCATAGAATCCCAACATAGTAGAGATAGAATAAGTCTGAACAAGGACTCTGACAGTGTGGGAAATTTTTCTAAGAGGTCAATGAATTTATGTGTTAAGAATTAAAATGTAACAAATGGGGAGAGAGGAACATAGAAAATTTTTTAGTGTAGATGACTCATCTAGCACTGGACAGTAGTATTTCCTTAGATCATTTTAATAGAAAAATGTAAATTATAAGTGTTGTTTCATTTTTCTTTGTGCAAAGTTTTTTAAAAAAGATCTAAGAAGGCTTTTGAAACTAAACTTCTGTTAAGTATAGAGACAAAATTAGGCAAAATTTCTTGCTTCAAACTGGATAAAAAAATGAGGGTACTTCCTTGATGTCTGAGGCAAGAATGAAAGTAGCAATAAAGTGAGTTCATTACCATGAAATAAATTCCATAAAATGGAACTTTCATTGTAGATCTGTTTCATAGCATATTAAGTGGTGATGTATTTGAATAGAGACATTGCTAGACAGCTCTGACACAGCTATCTACAGTAATAAATGTGATACTCCTGGGATAAAGAAGGAAATAAAACCAATGTGCATTTAAGGTATCTGGGAAGATGGTCTAGAAGGAATCAATGGCACTAAAAGCATTAGTATTACTAAGTAATATTTTGAGTAATAATGAGACTTTTCATTCACTACAAGATACCGCAGAAGATTTTTCTCAAAATTGCCTCAGTATGATGCTGGAGATAGACTTTAGTGGTCTGCTGCTTGCCTACCATGCACCAGGCCCTGTTTTCAATCCCAATACTATAAAATGAAGACAAAACAAAAATAAAACACGCAAATCAAAAAACTGAAAATGACCTCTGACCGCATATGAGTGCTGAAGGGTAATAACGATTAAAAATAGGAAATGTATTGAAAATTAGCTAGTTGGTAATTTAAATAAACCTTATGGAATTGCCATCATTTATAGTATTATTTATCCATGATGAACAAAGTTAAACAATTAAAAATAGAAGCTGCTGTTATGTTGGGAATCTCATTCTTAGTCTCTTAAAAATAGCACAAACTGACTTTTGTTTGACTCACTCATTCCTTGGTGTTTTTCTTCTGACTATTTAAAGACCTAGTCCAGGTATGATTGTATGTGTGTGTGTGTGTGTATGTGTGTGTGCGTGCACACATGCGCATGCACACATGCATGTGTACAAGCATGTTGTGGATCAAACTCGGTCCCTTACACGTGCTTGGCTGGCATTCTATTGAGCTACATATCTAGCGTAAGACTATGTTGCTTATGCTTTCTGAGGTTCTTGTTTGTTTGTTTTTATGGTTTGCTTAATTTTGGGGAGATACTTTTTCCATTAAAACTAAATATAAATAAAAATATTCTTGTGTGACAATTACTCAGCTCTCTTACTATATAAGATAGTCAGATTGTCTCAGATCAGAAAGAGAGAGGGATCCATTTGGATCAGTGAGGGCTTTTAAGTGTGGTATAGTATCTTCTTTTCAAACTAGTAACTGGCTAAAGATCCCTGAGGTTTTCTAAAAAGCACTTTATTCTGCTCTTTGAGATGGTATTATCTAACATATATCTTCAACATATTCATCTACAGTTATTTATTGAGTTCCTATTATGTAAGATAGTGTCCCAGGGATTATGATGCCAAATGGGGACTAAGTATACTCCTCAGCCATTTCCTGTTTGCTCAAAGGTAGTTAGCTAACATTACAAATCGAAGGAAAGTATATGTAAGCTCAAAGTAGTATGTAATTGTTGGAACTTGGAGTTTGGGAGAGAGAGCCTTAGTCCAAGGTCTAACTTGGCTCTTGATCATAAGGCTACTAATTTTCCTTTTTGGCTCAGTTTCCTCATGGGTAAAATAGGACAATAATACAGATCTCAGAGGAAAGTTGTAAGGATTAAATTAAAAAGTAATAATAAGTTGGGTGCTAGTAGCTCATGCCTGTCATCCTGGTTACTCAGGATGATGAGATCTGAAGATCATGATATGAAGCCAGCCCAGGCAGAAAAGTCTATGAGACACTCATCACCAATAAACTACTCAGAAAAAGCCAGAAGTGGTGCTGTGGCTCAAGTGGTAGAGTGCTAGCCTTGAACACTAAGAAGCTTAGGGTCAGAGCCTAGGATCTGAGTTTAAGCCCCAGGACTAGCAAAAGAAATTTTAAGTAATAATAATCAATCACTCTCATTTGTGAATGAGGAAACTAAGGCTTAGAAAAAGTAAAGAAGGCTTTTTATTATTACTATAAGAGTTATCTGGATGTTCTGGAGAGATGTGAAATAAAAGCAGGAACAATATCTGAAGGGGAGTGAGCACTCCAGAAACAAAATGAATAGTGAACAATAAAACCCATGGAAGATCTTGGGAGAGTTGGGTGTCAGTGACTCACACCTGTAATCCTAGCTACCTGGGAGGCTGAGATATGGGATCACTATTCAAAACCTGTCTGAGAAGAAAAGTCTGTGAGACTCTTATATCCAACTAACCAGCAAAAAGCCAGACATGAAGGTGTGGCTCCAGTGGTAGAGAGCCACCCTTTAGTGAAAAACCAAGCAAGGGCTGAGGCTATGAGTTTAAACCCCAGTACTGGTACCAAAAGAGAAAAAGAAAAAGGAAAAAATCTGAGAGGAGCCAAACCTTAAATAATATGTTGAAAGAAACAGGGTATGTGGGTCTGGCTTCCCTTGGATCATTCTAAGCCCTTCTCCAGAAGACCAGAGGGCTAGGATTATAACTACTTCTCACTTTTCAGCTTTTTCTATTCATTCCTTAAGGTCCTAGATCAGACCAGCCTGTCCTCCACTTTTGTAAGCACAGTAGAATACCATAAACCAAATCACCTTGCTTATATTAGCAATGAGACAAAAATCTTAACCACAAAATTAAAGAACAGAAAGTTAAAATGCATACCTGCCATGCTATTTTAGTATGCAGGAGTTTTAAACAAGCCTAGTTCGAGCTATAAATAATAAGGGAAATGGACAGTTGGTCACTAACTATATCAGTGGGCTCAGACTGAGGGAAGAAACACATGTAGAGGAAGGAGATGGGATGAAGATAATTCTCCCACTCACAGGTGGGAGATTATCCCCAGGATAATCTGTGTGTTCCTTTGAAAGGTAGGCCAAAGGAAAACTGATCTTAAACTGCTCATTACATATTTGCAAAGTCAACAGTTCACTTTCCTGTGATTTGTGAATATAAATTTAATCTAATTGGGTTGACACAATTATTTTACTGTGAAATATTTTTGAAACTTCTACTGTGTACTAGCCACCTCATTAAATGCTAGAGTGATCGCCCAAACACACACAAAAGATTTCATTTTTACAGTGCTTTGTGCTCATAGATTTTTATTATTTAAGAATTTTTTTATTATTTAAGAATATATAGAATATGGTATATTTTCAAATAGAAAATTGAGAGAGGAATGTATATTTTGGACTATCCTTGGACATTTCTACTAAGGCTCTCTGACAGATTAAAGAAAAACCTTTAAATGCCACATGTACAACTATGTGGCAGTTAATTAATACACGTTTCTGCATATCAAACCAGAAGCCACCTTGACGGATGTCCTTCTGATAGAGGCCTATGTTGATATTTCATCTGAACCAGCAGTTTGTGGTAACTGATATTGCCTCTACTGAAACCAATGCTATTGTCTGTTTCAGGGCCGACTTGATTCTCTAACAGAAGTGGATGACTCGGGACAGTTAACTATCAAATGTTCTCAAAATTACTTGTCTCTGGATTGTGGTATTACTGCATTTGAACTATCTGACTACAGTCCAAGTGAGGATTTGCTGGGTGGCCTGAGCGACATGACTTCTAGCCAGGTCAAAACCAAACCCTTTGACTCTTGGAGATATAGTGAGATGGAGAAAGAGTTCCCTGAGCTTATCCGAAGCGTTGGGTTGCTCACCGTAGCTGCTGACTCCATCCCCCCTTCAAACTGCAGTGAAGCAGTCAGTGAGGAGCCATCTCAAGTGTCTCCTTCAGCAGAGGAAAAGGGTGCATGTGGGGAAAACGTCGCTTTTGCAGACAAAGAGCAATCAGACTTACCACCAGGGCCGTCATCTTCAGGGGACATTCTGGCAAATGCTGTTCATCACTCTTCTGACAATGCAAAGCAAGAATGTAGTTCCTCCCTGCATCTTGGTGCACAGAATCAACCGCCTCTTCCGGGTGAAAATATAACCCCTAAGCGATCCATCAGAGATTGCTTTAATTATAACGAGGATTCTCCCACACAGCCCACATTGCCCAAAAGAGGGCTTTTCCTTAAAGAAGAAACTTTTAAGAACATTCTGAAAGGCAATGGTGGCAAGAAGTGCATGGTTGATCTGAAGCCTGAGATGAGCAGGAGCACTCCCTCACTGGTGGACCCTCCTGACAGATCTAAGCTCTGTCTGGTGTTACAGTCTTCTTACCCCAACAGTCCATCTGCTGCCAGCCAGTCCTATGAGTGTTTGCACAAGGTGGGTATTGGCAATATTGAAAATATAGTTAGAAGTCACATTAAAGAAATATCTTCTAGCTTGGGAAGGCTTAATGACTGCCATAAAGAGAAACCTCGACTGAAGAAGCTACACAAGACCTCGCAAGAGGTGCCCGCACGCCAAACAACTGATCTAGGAGCTGGTTCAGGCAAACAGGATGAAAATATGAGATGCTCAGTGATGCCGAATGGAAAGGCTTCCAGTGCGCCTAAGGTCACAGACGGGCCAGAAATGGATTCTGCTTCCACATCCTCAGCTGAGCTGTGCACTCAGAGACATTGGGATGCCAAAGTGCCAGTGCAGTCAGAAACATCCAGTTCACCACCTTTCACTCAGAGTAGTGAATCCTCCGTTGGCTCAGACGATACCATGTCGCCAGTACCTCTTTCCAAACATGAAAGCAAAAATGGCTGTTCCACCTCCTCGCCAAGTCATGTTGCCAAGAATGGCCAGGTTGTGGAGGCCTGGTATGGTTCTGACGAATACCTAGCGCTGCCATCCTACCTTAAACAGACAGAAGTCTTAGCTTTGAAGCTGGAAAATCTAACAAAGCTTCTGCCTCAAAAACCGAGAGAGGAAATCATTCAGAATATTGATGACTGGGAACTCTCGGAAATGAATTCAGACTCTGAGATCTATCCAACACACCACATCAAGAAAAAACATACACGGCTAGGCAGAGTGTCCCCAAGCTCGTCCAGCGACATTGCTTCTTCTCTGGGAGAAAGCATTGAATCTGGGCCCCTCAGTGACATTCTTTCTGATGAAGAGTTGTTTATACCTCTCTCTGGCATGAAAAAATACATCGACGAGAAAGCAGAAAAAGCTTCACCCTCTGAGAAAAACGAAAGCCATTCTGTGGCAAAATCTGCTCTAATCCAGAAACTGATGCAAGATATTCAACACCAAGACAACTATGAAGCCATATGGAAAAAAATTGAGGTAAGACAGTCTTGACCCAAATGACTTTTTAGAAGTCATTCTGAAGAGGAGAGCAACGTCTCCCTTCTTCATTTGAGCAAATATGGTGTTATCATTTATATCCCTGATGAACTCTCCAAAGAAAGAAAGGAAAAAAGCACAATGATCACTGTATTGTGTGACATTGTGTGCATCATTAGAATCTACTCTTTTCAGTGCATTAGTTGCCTGGTACACAGTTCTGTCGCTGTTGCTGAAACTTAGGTTCTTGATGAATGGTGGACTTCTGTAATGCAAAATAAAACAGGACAGTGGCTATGCATGTAAAAGTGCCTGAGGATTATGTAAGTGGAATATTCTAGGTACCATCGGTGCTTCTTTATTTATTTGCTTTCAACCTTTCGGTAGCCTCTATATTGGTAATGCCTTCTTGTTGAAATAGCACAGATATTTCTGTTTTTAGTGGAATTCTTCATTTTTCTTTAGTCTTTCTCCTGAGACCTCTAGTTTATTACATGCTATTACCTATAGGCTCTGAGACATGCAATTCACACACTGAGTAAATACTTACTTTTGGAAATAAATGGAATCTTTGAGGCTAGACTTCACAAAATTCTAAGCCTGAACTCCATAATAAAATTTATGGATCTATCTTGTAACAGTCATCTGAAGTGAAAACAAGACTCATTCTGGTTATTGTAGTAATGGTCTTCTCTACATAACTTTATTGGAGATAGATCCAATTAATTTGATCGTCATCATTACTTTTTTAATGTTTAGTTCTTGTTAATGTTTATAAGTGACTAGAAATGGTTATGCCCATGATCATCTGTGTAGCACTTTACATGTATAAATTTTCCACCTGCTTTCTGAGTTTTCAAAGTGTAGGGCAGAAGGCAGGTCATACCTTCTTTACATGAATGGAAATAGAGATTCATTGAGCTTAAGTTGTTTTCCCGAGCTAAAATTATTGGATAGGTAGACAGACTGATACTTTTGCTTGTAAAGTTAGGATACGAACCTATGTCTTCTGACTCTTAGTTCACTTTTCTTGTAATGTGTCACATGGCTTCCCTAGAAGAGACTAGCTCCCTCCCTGGGAAACTATGACAGAGGGGAGAACACAGTGTTTAGGAGCCACCCAAATTTGGTTAAAAAGAAAAGAAAGTAAAATTTATACAATCTTATGCTGGTTTGGAGCTACTCCTCAGTTTTTTACATCATTGTTGGACACTGTTTTGGGACTAGCACTGATCTAGGAACTAAATATAATACATGTGAACAGAATCAACAGATGGCAGATAGTCCAAGTTGATAAAGAGGAAAAAATTAGCATAAATATATGATAATATAACATTAATCTGGGTGCTTGTAGCTCACGCCTGTATATCCTAGCTACTAGGGAGGCTGAGATCTGAGGATTGTGGTTCCAAGCTAGCCAGGCAACAAAGTCCCTGAGACTGTCTAATTAACCATGAAAAAGCGGGAAGTGGAGCTGTGGCTCAGCTAGAACCTGACTCTAAGTTATAGGACTGGCATGCATGCAAAGCACGTGCACGGGCACACACAGAATAATAACATTAATAATTGTGTATTAAGTGTTTATGTATCAAATCTACACAACTCTAATATGAGCTCCTTTGTTTGGGCAGTACTGGGTTTTGAACTCAGGGCCTCATGCTTGCTAACTTGGCACTCTACTACCTGAGTTATGAATACGTCTAACTCTGAACTCTATCTTATGGATGAAGAAGCTGAGGCTGAGAGACAGTCCATATTCTCTAAAATATGTATTATTGACTCAGTGTTCTCATGCCTCTCCATAAGGAAGTGATCAGTATTCACTACATGTAAATATCATGTTATAGAGAGATAATGTCATAGCTTGAATTTGCCTGGAAATTCTAATGATTTGGTAAACATTGGATGGGACTTTGTGGATATACAGGATTTAGACAGATAGAAGGAAGGTAGAACACAAGATAAAATGCAGACGTCATAATGACTATCTCCTGCAACTTCTGAATTGTAATTTAGCCTAGAATAACTAGTGCTTTTTGAATTCTTATTTTGCATTTGGCTCTGTGCTAAGTGGTCATGTTTTTTGTTTGATTTTGTTATGTTTTTACATATTTTATTCTACTTAAGTCCTAAGAGATAGGTTTTTTTTTCAGGTGAAGAAGCTAAGGCAAAACATAATAAAGAAACTTGCTCAAGTTGTCATAGCTAATAAATATAAAGTCAGGATTTGAACCCAGAACCAGCACATTACATCAGTAAGACATGGCTTCCAATAGCCTTTCTGAAAGGTAACACTACTTTAGGTGATGGCAGCTACCAGTTCCCAGTTAACTGAACTTGGATATCACACTCTAGTTTTGGCCTTCTTCTAGAGAATCTATTTTACTTGCAAACTGTCAAGAGTGGATAAGTGAGTTAATATCTTCTTTGTATCAGGCATCTTCTAGATACTTTATCTACAATAATTCAATTATAGAATTCTTATGGATATATAGGAAGGATTCTTACAACAATCCTTTTTGTTTTAAAATCTTAAATTCCAACTCTTGCCTAGTTACTATCACTCACTGCCTAGATTACTGGAGTTGACTCCGAACTGTTCTGTTTTCATTTTGATAACACTACAATCTGTTCCCAACATAGCAGCCAGAGTGATCATTTCAAAACATAAATCTGATCATGTCACTCCTTTGTTAAAAATCAGCTATTGCATTCAGGGTCTTTTGTGAAATCGTTTCCAGGTTTCCTCTCTAATCTTGTTTTCAACTGCTCTTCGTCATGCCCATTTTACTCCATTTCCACTGGCCTCTTTGTTGTTCCTGGAAAATTCTGGGCATGCTTCTGCCCTTTGGGCCTTTGTCAGTTTCTCTTCACCAGATGCCTGCATTTCTCTTGTGAGTCTTTGCTTAAAAATCACTTTCTCAGAGAAACCTACCCCAACCTGTCCATCTTTGTGAAGGTATAACCTGGCCTTTTCTTTTACACAGCTCTTAACTCATTCTGGTATGTCATATAATTTTCTTATACAGTGTGTTTTGGTCTATCTTCCTCTGCTACATTAGGAGTTTTATAAGAGAAGAAATATTTATCTGTTTAGTTTGCTAGTGAATCTCATGTACCTATAATATGAAATATATAAGTAGGCATTCAGTAAAGATTGTTGAACAAATGAGCAAATCACCATTTTTGAGTGGAGGAAATTGAGTTTAAATTGATGAAATCATTTTTCCTGAGCAGTACAGCTAGTAAATCACAGAGCCAGGCTTCAAGTCCCCCATCTGTTTTACACTTCCCACTAGGTAGACTGGACAGAAGAATTCTCCAAGAGAATGAAAATAAATAGGGAAAAGAATAAGAGCGGCATCTGAGATCTAAGTTGTAACCCAATTTTGAGGCAGGGACAAAGAAGGCACGTCTTTGGCAGAACTAGTTAGGGAGAGAGAAGATTCTTGAATGTTGAGTAGAAAGAGTTCTTCAGTGATATAGGCATTTTTTTTTTTTGCAAAAGGGAAATCATAAAGGGAGATAGGGGAAGGAACAACATTTTGATTTGTTTGTGAGAGTCAATGAGGTCTTTGGAGAAAAATTGACTTAATGGAGTAGTAGAGGTAGAAATTAGATTATGATTAAGAAGGAAGAAAAATCATTCCTCATAGTTCAAGGAGTTGCGTTTTCAAAGAAGCATAAGACAAAGAATGGAAGTTCAGAGCGAATCCCAATAAATGTTTATTTTTTTTTAAGTAATGTTTAGTGAGCAGCTAGATGACCAGAGAGTATATGAAACAAGAACAGAACCACATGGGAAAATTGTATTGTGATGTAGAACATGATAAAATATGTAATACATTCTTCTGATTCCTTCTCTACTAACTGGAGAGTGTACATTTGCTCCTCTTGTCCCACAAGCAGAAGGCAGCATATAGATGAAAATCCATGAACACGGAGTGTTATGAGATTGTCACAGAGTTCTCAGGAAACACCTGTGGTTGGTGACTAGTATCTTAGATGCCAAGCGGGTTCCTATCTGTCCCCACCCCACACATTTATCTCTTTCTTATAATGGTTTTGTTAATATAAAAGATTGTTTACTCTTTAATGTTTAGTATATTAATTTTTCAATAGAGTTTAAATTATTCTCATGATTTTAAAACACAGATATTAAAACTACTAGGAAATACCTGTCCATCCCTAGCCCTCATCTTACGTTCTCATCCAGCCATAGGTGATAATTGTTTTAATCTTATATCTTTGAAGAAGTCTTGACACATTGCATTTGCCTACAGATACAAATGCAAACATACTTTTAAAATCAGGATATAACTTGCAGCTTTTCTTTCTCCACAATTAAATCTTTTCTGTATCCTTTTCCTGACCTCTCTGTGAGGGGTGAGGGGGTTTTGCTCAACTTTGGGTGATTTGCTTCAAGACTTGTGGTGTGGATAAATTAACTGAGTATCTCAGTTCCCTGGGAGCTTCTCAAGGCATAAAATTAAAAAGAAAAAAAGTGAGTCAAGCCATTTAACCCATTTGTTTAAGAAATAGAATAAAAGCAATGAGGAGAAAGGAAGGAAGGATATAATCAGAAGCAGATGGACTCAAAAGCAGATGGAATGTACCAGAATGGTGAAATGGTGATATCTGGACATATAGGTGGAGGTAACAGAGGTTCCATAGCCTGTGGGCCAAATCTTGTAGGATGCATCATTTTAATGTACTATTTTATGGGAATTCATCCCTGCTCATTGTCAATGGATGCTTTTGCTTGACAATGACACACTTGAGAGTTATGAAAGGAATTAGGTGACCTGCAAAGACTAAAATGTTTCCTGTTTGGCAAAGTTACTGAAAGAGCAAAGTTATTAATCTCTACTCTTGGTCAAGGAAGAAGGAAGAGAAATGATTTCTGACAAGCATCTCTTACATGGCTAGATTCTGAAGCAGATTCTTACATTTAATTTGTATGACAGTTCTATGGAAAGTTTGTTATTGGTCTTATTTTA